CGCTCCCGCTCCCCCCACTCCCTCTCCTCCTCCCTCCCCATTCCCAGGTAATTAGAATTATTAAGGCATTGTCTATCAGCCATCACTGCTTGCTAGGTATTGCTTCTTATGCTTTTAATTACTTAAAAAAATAACACTGGCATATGTGTAGTGTAGAGTTGAGTTACTAAGAGGACTTTAGAAACTACATTTATAGAGGCTTATTCTACCAGAGGATCCAACCAAGTCAGGTGTTCACGGCTCCCTGTAACTCCAGCTCCCAGTGCACTTGCAGTCCCATGCACAGAACACAGAGGCACATACTTTCTGAATTTTTTTGTTTTATTTTGTTTTGTTTTTTGAGGCAGGGTTTCTCTGTATAGTTTTGGAGCCTGTTCTAGAACTCTCTGTAGGCCAGGGTGGCCTTAAACTAAGACGTCTGCCTGCCTCTGCCTTCCTGACTGTTGAGATTGAAGGCGTACAACAACACTACCTGGCTCATAATTTTTCTTAAAGGAAAGTGATGTAATTTCTTAACCTCTGGGTATTTCAGTCTTTTATAGGGTATTTTAGAACTTTAGCATTGAACATACATGACCTTACGGAAAACTTTTATCCTGGATGTTTTTCCCTTTAGTGTTAGAATTTATGAAGCTTCTCCACTTGAAAATGAAAGCAAATGAGTTGGAGAGATGACTCAGTAGTTAAGAGCACTGACTGCTCTTCCAGAGGACCCAGGTTCAATTCCCATCACCCACATGGCAGTTCACAACTGTCTGTAACTCCAAGATTTGACAACCTCACACAGAGCATACGTGCAGGCAAAATACCAATGCAAAGGAAATAAAAGTAAACAAATTATTAAAAAAGAAAATGAAAACAAGAAACTTTGTTTAGATTGTGTTTTGCCTCTAAAAAATAGCTTTTCTTGAATTACAAGTACATTCCTCTAAATTAAGGCAATTTTTATTCCTGACTGCAGGTGACCATTATCATTTTAACCCCCTTTTGGGCTGTATAGTTAGTAGGTGGCAGAACTAGCATATAAAAATTGGCAGTTGGTCCCTTATCTCTAACCTTGCAGTAAAAAGCAATAAGATCTTCTACAAAGGAGTCTAAATTTCTGAGTGATCCTGCAGAGCTGAGAATCAGCATTTGGGTAGTTAGTTGTCAATACTAAGTTTTGTAACTATGCTTGACACTGGACTTTTTTTTTAATCTTATATTTATTTATTATGTATACAGTGCTCTGCCTGCATGTATCCCTGCAGGCCAAAAGAGGGCACCAAATCTCATTACAGATGGTCATGAGCCACCATGTAGTTGCTGGTAATTGAACTCACAACCTCTGCAAGAGCAGCCAGTGCTCTTAACCACTGAGACATCTCTCCAGCCCCAACACTGACTTTATCAGTAACTGTGAAAACACATTATTGAGTCTTTATTTCCTTTGGGGTATTGAAATACTTTGTTTATAAGTAGAATTAAAAAATTAAAATTTGTCAGGCGTGGTGGTGTATATCTATTTTCCAGTACTCAGCACTGGGGAGGCTGAGGCAGGAAGATTTCCTACAAGTTTGCCATCAAGACAGAATTACATGAGACCTAAAAAAACGGAGTAGAGGGGACATATGACCTTTGTAGGATAATTTCTTTAATTGGGATTGTTGGTTCACTTACAGCTAAGGAACACATTTTAAATTTAGATTATAGCTTTAGGAGACAGTTTGTTGCAACTTTGACAGTTTTTGTGATAGTTTTAAATTGGTTGCTTAGAAACTTCAAAGTTCTGTTGCCTTACTGAAAGGTGTTTATGTTTACAGGAGTTAATAGCAATTTAAGAATAAATCTTTGATTTCAGGCTCCATCCCTATTGGACAGACAATAGGTATTGTGCTTTAAAGAAGATAATAACTGCATAACGTAGTCCAAAATTAGTGTTAATCTCAAGCCATCTCAGAATGAGAGGAAGTTCATGCTGGTGTTCTAGAGAGTTTACAGTAGGTACCTATTTGTCCATAAAGTTTAGCAGACATTCTCCCACTAGGCTGCATACTATATAGTTAAACCTTGTGCCTACACCTACAGAATAAAAATAGGGTGGACTTCATAACTCCCATTTAGTAAAGGTAGACTACAATGTGTGTTGCAATGTATTGGCTTTTCTGGTTATCTGTTCAGCTTTTCTTAAAACAAAAAAAAAAAGAAAGAAAGGAAGAAAAAGAAATACCAAGTAATTGTGCTACTAAAATACTAATTTTTTAGCTTTAATTCAGATGTTACATTTCACAGAAGATTTGGAAACATGTTATCTAGCCCGTTGTAGCTTGGAAGGGAGACATTCATTTTAGAACAAGTAATTGCTTGCTGGCAAAACTGAAAGAAAATGTGTTCTAAAAGCTAAGCAAGTGAGATGCACCTGATGTGTACTAGTAGCTTGCTTCAGAGAAAATGAACATACTACGGTAGCTTAAGAGAGATGGTAGGTCCATAGGCTGTTCAATCATGACTGCTGTGTTGAAGACTATCATTCCTTGGAGCTAATTGTGGGAGCTCCACTAGAGGTGGAGGCTGGAGAATTAGCACCAATTTGAAGCTAGCTTGAGTTGTAGTGTAAGACCTCGTCACAAATAGTCTTAAAACATTTCATTTAAAATAGTTGGAGATAGAAAACACTTGGAGGACTAGGGAGGACAAACAGTACTTGGAGAAAAATGTAATACTATGTAATGTATAAAAGTTAAAAGATGAACAGAATGTTTAATATTCTGGATAAAGGAGGTTTGTTTATAGAATGTGTTTTTGGTGAACAGTTTTAGCTCTATTAAGAGTGTGAAGATTTTTGTTATTAAGAGAACACTTCCATTAGGCCATTGGGTCAGTCGGTGACTTGGTATGCATATCTAATATTTAGAAAATTAACTTCCTATCTAAACAGCAATTATGTGGTTTGAAAGTAGTAGACACCTCATTCTATGTGTGATTTCTTTTTGAAGATTTTTTTTTATTTGGTGTGCACTGTGTTTTGCCTGTATATTCTGCATGAGGGTGTCGAATCTCCTGGAACTGGAGCTCTGAACTTGTCAAGTGGATGCTGGGAATTGAACCGGGTTCTCTCTGGAAGAGCAGCCAGTGCTCTTAACTGCTGAGCCATCTCTGCAGTCCTCTGTTATTTTCATTAGGAAGTATATATAATAATTTTAAATTGAGGACTTTCCCCTATACATTGCTTTCATGAAGTTAAAACAAATTCTGTCTGGATAGTTGGATAATGGACTAGACAGACTCTTCTTGGTTTTCAGGTTTACCCTATATACTGTCTTTTTTTAGGGCGTCAGTTTGGTTAGACCAAAATAATTCTAAATTATTCAGTTATTCATGTGGAAATTCTGTAATAACAAATGGTTACTAGGTAGTTAAATTTAGCTCAATTTGTTTCTGTTGTAGAACTTAACGGGTATCTAAGCAAGAGACCATTGCTTTGTAGTTAATATCCTTGTCTTTAAAAACTAGCATCTGCCTCACTTATGAAAGTTGTATTCTGATCCTGTAGGTAAAAATTGTTGTGTGTGTAGCAGTGGTTATTAAATAAGGGTTATATATTAGGAGTTGGTATTATTCAATTGAAAGAAACGTGTATTGAGAAGTTTTAAAATTTCCATGGAATTGGCAATAAACAGATATTTAAAAGTACATGCTGGGTTTTGGTTATATTCATTTGATTATAACATTACTAAATGATTATAAGTCTTACTTTAGGACTAGACACTTTGAAAGAGTCTTGAAATTGGGGCCCACTCTGTAATACGTTCAGGTTGAAAACCTAACTTTAAATGGAAAGAGTTGAATGTCACCTGAAGTAAGTTTATTTGTTCTAAGTTAGCTTTGGTATTAGCATTAATTCAAACAAACTTGTGGTAAGAATGATAATAACACTTCAGTTAACTGGACACCTTAGAGGTGAAGATAAAAAAGATTGATGAGCATCTTACTGCCCAGTGGGCTGTATTGGCAGCCTGTTAAAGGTCTAAAGTGGGGAGATATTTACTGTCTGCAGAGCTGAGAGCTGGTGCCTTATCTTCCCCATCCCTTTTCATGATAACCCCCTTCCCCCAAGTTATGAAGGTGAGAACATCTTGAGCAAGCATGATTTTATCTCTGAAGTGAAAATTTTAGTTTTATAGGGCTAATTTTGACAACTTGCTGTTTTTAGTTTGACTCTTAAAGGGTAAAAGGTAGAGATGTGCTTTTATAATTACTGCTGTTAACTTATTGGTAAAATACACAGATGTAGAAAGGATCACAACTGCTGCCAGAACTGCTTTTTGGCATTTTACTGTATGTTAAGACTTAATTTGTTCCTCTATATGGTCTTTTCTTGGGTGTTTCCACTTACCATTTTACAGGCCTAAGCATTTCATAACTTTTTAGCTGAGGTTCTATTGTAAGTAAATAAATCATCTAAGTTTGTGAGATGTGATTCTTTCTCCATGATATTTACATGATTACTTTGTTCCTTTTTAAGGACTCGTGAAAGTGAAAAAGGTTAGTTCAGTTTGGAAGACTTAGCATTTTTCCATTTTATGTGCTAAGAATTCTGCAGATGGGAGAACTAAGTAGAAAAGGAGTCTCAGCATAGACAGTGTGCTGGGAGCTGCCACACTGCAGCATAGCCCTTGACATGGTTAATGAAGATTTGTTAAGATCTGGAAACCAAGATTTTACCTTTAAAAAACTGATACTTTTATTTGGCATGCATGCATATATATATTTATGTATATATGCATATGTATATAAATACCAGTAGTTAGCTTCTTGTTCAGTATTGTGGTTGACCAGAAGGAGCAATGTTAAGTGGAACTTTAAACAGTAATGTTTTTTGATACGTGCTTGTGTAGGAAGAATAATATTTTATTGTACTAAATAAATGTAGTTTGAAAAGGGTGTTACTGATGTGAGTAAATACAAGGCAAAGTTTAATTTTCTTCTTAGCATTTTAATACTGCTTTTTGTCTTTACAGGAAAATGTTTATAGGAGGCCTTAGCTGGGACACTACAAAGAAAGATCTGAAGGACTACTTTTCCAAATTTGGTGAAGTTGTAGACTGCACTCTGAAGTTAGATCCTATCACAGGGCGATCAAGGGGTTTTGGCTTTGTGCTATTTAAAGAGTCGGAGAGTGTAGATAAGGTAGTGTGTTATATATTCTGATTAATGAAACATGGAGAATTTGATAGAGTAAACTTGTATGTTACTTGTGGGTTCTTCTCATGAGAAAGACAAGACACATTTCTTAAATTCTTTCCTTGTTTGAAACAAGGTTGCATGTGTCTTAGACTGGACTCAGGCTGTATTACTTGAATCTCCTGCCCTCTATTGTCCATGTGCTGGGACAGTGGAGGTTCATTAACACACCCTGTTTTGAAGGGAGAGGCGGATTTGGGAATTATTTATTGAATACTTTCCATGTGCCAACCTTTCTAAATTAAAAGTAATTTTAAAAAGGACTGAGGCGTAATAAGTACATGGTCTGTGTTCAGTCCCAGCAGACATTTTCAAGAAGGTAGTGGGGGATTTTAAAAGTCTAATTAAAAAAATAAAGTATGACAAGTTGGCAAAAAGTGCCTGTTTTACATTTTTGTTAGACAAGCATTTTGTCTCACTCAAGTCTCTGAATAGAAGTAGTTCCCTCATACCTGCAGATACGTATACAATCAACTTTTTAATTTAAGTCATTAGCAACCATTGTTTATCAGTTAAAGGTGATGGTTACCTAGTAATCAACTGGTGTGGTACTTCCCCTCCGTCATTCTTAGTGACTTTTATACTTGGGCACTAGTCTGTATTAGCTGAAGAGTTTATTTCTGTACATTAGTAAGTTTTACATATTAAAGTGAAAAACTTAATTTTCTTAGGTCATGGATCAGAAAGAACATAAATTGAATGGGAAAGTCATTGATCCTAAAAGGGCCAAAGCCATGAAAACAAAAGAGCCCGTCAAAAAAATTTTTGTTGGTGGCCTTTCTCCAGATACACCAGAAGAAAAAATAAGAGAGTATTTTGGTGGTTTTGGTGAGGTATGTGTGTTTTGATTCAGTTTATGTCAAAAATTAATGTGTAATTGTACATTAAGTGGACTTGGCCACTGTGTTTTTCAGTGTTGCAAAAATTCATAATAAGGAAATTGAATGAGCAGATCTGAAGATTAGGGAATGTTTTTCTTTT